CCTTAGCAAGGTAGCGACACGATCAACACCTGGCGAAAGGTGAGACCCCGTCAAGGTGCCAGCATGGTCGAATAGAAGGGATGGGAGAGAAAGTTAAGACTTGGTTCGAGTGGCCAACACAAACTAGAATGGTAATAATATCACATGTTCGAAAAACTTTGACTGTCATCACAACCCTAACAACCAATCCGTAAAAAGAAAATAAAAGCAGCATAAGATAAAAACAAGTAGTAAAATAACCAAAATAATTCTTCCATTTGATATGAAAATATTATGTAAGTTTTTTCTATCGGCCCTTTTACAATGGCTGTCGGATGAGATCAACCAAAACAAGCAAAACTCTCCTAAATTTTATAGAAATAAAAAAGGAAAACACTAAGGAGCGGTCGCCACAAGCCACCAGCCATCACTATCATCTCTTTTGCCCGCTCTCGGAGACTCCTCACTGTATTTCATTGGGTCAGAAAGAATGGTGAACAACTGCTCCAGATCAACCCACTTCAAGTCTACCACGGCCTCCTTTACAAAATTGTGAGCTGTCAAGGATATGCCCACCCGATGTTGTTGGGAAAGACCCTGACATGCTCCCCGGTGGCCACCATTCGCCTCCCTCAACTTTTTTTCTCCTCCTCCAGAGTCATGATGGCTTCCTCATATTCCTTATTTTCCCTCATCTGGCTCTAGGTGGAGAACTTCAGTCACTTTTTCCCCCGGATGGCTCTTTTTTCAACCTCCCTCTATTGAGCGATCACTTTAGTATCAGCTTCTCGGCGGTCACCTTCTTCTCTTCCATCCGGTGGAAAGATGTAGCCTTGTAATGGGAGGTTGACCACACCATTAAATGGAATCAGTCGCTTATCTGACTGAAGTTCGCTCCTTTAAAGCTATTCAACAATTGTTCAATAGAGTCAGACGAATGACCACTGCTAAGAGCCAAGGGTAATTTATCGCCGCTAGCGTATCACTAGGTAAAAATGCCCTACGAAACTTAACCAAACATTAGAGCCGTCCTCTATAGATGGAACCCACCTAGGGGAGAACCATTTCGTTTCTGTATAGGGGGAGGGGCCAAGGATTCGTCTTCGACGGGGGCCTTCACCTCCCAATGTGAAATATCACCCACCAAAGGGCTCAAATCTGACTCATCATCAGCATTAGCATTGTCGTTAACCTCAAAACTGAAATCCAACTGTATGGGTGAGGGGCGATTCACCTAGCCTCCTGACTAAGTGTCTATGTAGGAGACATCGTGTGGTTGGATTTATTTGTCATCAATGGCCAAGGAAGTTCCCCCCTCTTCCCCCCGAAAGAAACTGGGAGTCTTCAGTGATTCCTCCCGGCGAGCTCCGATGGTTCCATCACTAGATGAAAAATCATTTAGTCAACCATAACTCCACAAAGCATGAGAAATTATTTAGTGATATCTAAAGAAACAAATTACATACCTATCGTACTAGCCCGGACTAAAACTGGCTATTGTTGCAAGCAGGGGGCAGAGTCAGCTATGGTTGGGCAACGTTCGCCCTCGACTTCTTCTCGACCACCATGGCAGAGCCTTCACACTTTGGTTGGCCTCCCGGGCATTAGAGGCTTCCCATAACCCATTGGTCATGGCGCCAAATTTTTCGCTCCACGGCAACTTGTCTAGAACGTCTGCATCCAAGTACTGATGCAGCAACAACTCTTGGACCTCGATCATGTACTCATGCTTTCGTAGGGAGTCAGGTAGCTTATTCCCCTTTTTTAGGGAGCACACGACGGACCAGACGCTAACCAACCAACCTCCTTGGTAAGAGCCAACCCGAAACTTCCTCTTTCAGTCCTTGATTTTGTTTTCTAGCACCATGAGGCAAAGGTTGGGACTTACGAAGAGCATTGCGTAGCAATCTCAATCGATCTTAAAGTTGAAACAGTAAGAGAAAAGGTTGAACAACCACGGGATGGACAGTCGCTGGAGGAAGACCACAAACGTCATCACGACGACAATGTAATTTTGCATCACTTGTGCGAGAATGAATCCATATCAGTTGAGGATTGCCCGCAGCTCCCGGAAAAAAAGCAGTGGAAGCCCACAACAACAAAGTCCCTGTCATATTTATCAGTCGTTCGGTCGTTACTTCTGACCACTCTCAGCATTACAGTATTTTCGTAAACGTAAGAATATTGAAAGCTATCCACTTGGTGAGTCGACAAGATGGAAGATTCTTGGAAGATACAATGTTGAAAAGCTCTTGATAATACTTGGACGCCATGAGAAGACAAGGAAGATAACTGACAGAAGGAGAGCTCAGAAAGTGATCAAACAAGCATTTCATAAATTGAGGCCTATTTATTAGGTAGGAGAAAAATTTGAACCGCCTCGGAATAGATAATGTCACTTGCCACAGAAAAAGAGTTAAATCAAACACACTAATCGAGACTGAATTGTTTAAAATTTTTATTTATTAAATTAAAAAAATATTTACATTTTATCACTCAGCAACTACTCAAGAACATACTTTACAAAATTATTAGCGGTCGCGTCAGCCTAGAAAAACTATCGCTGAAATAACCCCTTGTATACAAGTTCTCCCCCTAACGTGAACCTGTCTAATCTTTCTGTTTCAAACTGCGCTCAGGCGGCTAAAAATGCCTTCCGGACAACCAGAAGCTCTGCCCGAAAAGGTGCAACTTCTTTGCAGAGGATGGCCTCTCGAGCACGCATGGTGTCCACTTCCTCTTCCAGCTTTTCCAGTCAATGAACTTGATCAACCCGCAAGTGCATCTCCTCAACTTGGAGGAACATAACCGCTCGGAGGAATGAATCCTCTATCTCACATAGTCGATTTCCCTTCGAAACAGAAGGTTCTAACCCGACAACTGCCTTTGGTTGGACTTCCCTTTGGAACACTCAGAGCCTCCATCCTTGGGCTGACATGAGGTACCTTCAACAGAACCTCAAAATCCAATAGCTTTGGTGACCACGTCTACACCCATCACCCAAAAGAGGAACCGATGATCATCAATTTGGTGATCGGAACATCTACATTAAAAATCAATATAAAATAAAGTTTAGAAAAACTAAATTCACTCAACAGGCGTCCAATGTACCTAAGATCTGTTCTCAATCTAAAGTATTAAAAGATAATCCTTCCTCAACAGTTGGCCACCCTTCAATTCACAGAGGAATGTCAGCGACACCCTAAGCTCCAGATGGCACCCAGGCATCAGAAAAATCTTGCACGGTTCTCCCAGTAGTCTACACCGCACCAGGAGCTAGGGGACGAACCGGAGCCGCTAAATCGGCCGGTTGTTTTTGTGAGAGGCCACTCTCTTCCACCTTAGGATCTGCTTTTGTGCGACTCCCTTTTATGGGTGCCCTCTCATGGGCGGTGTTCTTCCGCCCACACCTCCTCACTAAGGAATCTTAAGGGAGAAGTTTTTCCAGGTCAAGAGCCAGTCCCTCGCTTCAAACCTCGGTCCTTTCCTTTCCTTTCCACTACCTTCTGCATTCGCTCCCCGTCTGGTCAGGAGCCAATCCCTTGCTTCAGAACTTTAAAGGCCATCTGATAGGTAGTTTTTCCGAACTTTTCAATCTTGGCCAGTGGTTCATTAACCATACTGATGGCTGGAACTCAGATAGATTGAGTGAGGAAACAAAAGAATGATGTGAAGAAATTCGCCCTTCAATGGGAGCTCAATTACTGCATCATTAACTAATCATAAATATTGTCTTTTTTATATTAAATTCTCTAATTCTTATCACAACATAACTGTCAAGACAAAAGAGTTGAAGAATTAAATATGAACACTAAAAATATGACATGAACACTAAAAATATGATAGCACGAATCTTGAGGAAATCTAACAGATCAGAGGAAGTGTGGTCAAGAGGGATCCACCAACGATGAAAGTGTACAACACATGAGCTAGGAGCGTCCATTGGCTCAGTTCCCTCGGATCAGAGTCTAAACACAATCGACGGACTACACAAGTTGATTGGACAACAAAGTCCAACCGATCAAAGATTCAGCCGACTAAGAAGTAGCTTCAGTCGACCGGCTTGGACCCGACATAGCCTGTCGAGCGGCCTCTCGCCGACCAAAGATTATCAACCACAAATGACCAATCGGAAGGCAGGGCCTAGTCGAATACTTCTTTATTTATCCATTTACATGTCTATTGAAATCATCGTTTACTTTTACCAAATTACCCTATAGCATCCCTATTAAAGCAAAGGGAAGAGGTAGTTATACCTTTTGTATCACCATTTGCCAATAAATAGTGGTTCATTTCTACAGTAAAATACTAATGAACCAGAGGTAAAAAAAAACTCTTGAATCTTTAATCTACTGTGCACTCAATCTCTCTCTCTCTCCCATTCTCTCATGTTCTATACTTAATTCCTTGAGTGTGATTTACAGGACAAAATTAGATTCAACAGAGTTATCGCTCAAAAAGCAGTCGATGGAAGGCAAGGAAAAGTAAATGTGTGCCTCGTTATTAAATTTGTGTATAAATTTTCTACCAAATCTAAAACTAAAAGAACCCCTTCATTACTTTTTACCTCGTTATTAAATTTGTGTATAAATTTTCTACCAAATCTAAAACTAAAAGAACCCCTTCATTACTTTTTATTGCTTTATTATTATTATTATTATTATTATTATTATTATTATTATTATTATTATTATTATTATTATTATTATTATTATTATTATTATTATTATTATTATTATTATTATTATTATTATTATTATTATTATTATTATTATTATTAACTTTTTTTCTTGTTTAGGATGTTGAGAAATTCTCCTTCATCGTAATTTTTGTTACCTCTTTAGTAGTAGTACTATGTTAAGTAAAATTAAAGATCAGAAAATTAGAAACATACATTTATTTATTCCTAGTTTAAAAAGATGATTAATTTTAATATTAAATTATATTTAAGAAATGATAAACCCCGAATTTAAGACACTTTCCAACAAACAAGTGCGACTAGAAATTATTCTCTTACTAACAATCCAAAGAAGTATAACATTGTTGCTCCAGAACTTCAAATGCCTTCGACCAAAAACAGTTTCCTTGGTAAGCATAAATCTTCTATTATCTGTACAGACATTAAGACAAGTCATAAATTAAAAAAAGAAGAATTATTTTTATGTTTTGTGCTGATTGGAAACTTCAGGATGGATCCCTTTTTCTTAAACTAAAGGTCTATTTGATTGATGAAAAATTGAGGGAATGCAACCATATTATATTATATAATTACAAGATTGGGTATTTAAGTCTAATATAATTAATAGAAAAATAGATTTATTCAAAAAATATGACAATTGTGTCATTTTATTGATAATTACAATGTCAACCCTTTCTAAAAATAGACTAAAAAAATGTACGCATAACTCATACATGCCCTTCTTAGAAGAAACAAAAAATTAAAATTCTCCATTATTATTTCTTTTTATTTATTTTCTTTTTTCCATTTATTGGCATTCCATTTCTTCGGTGAAATAGGGCCTCAAGGTGGATTATATTGAGAATTAGTGATTAATTTAACTAAAACAGATTGACCTAATACAAACTAATAACATTTAATATGATTTCCTCAACTAACGGAAGGACTCAAGGGAGACTGTTCCTTTTCTCAACAGAGGCAATCAGTCATAACTCACCAAAAGTTAACTTGTGATCCAAAGTATTCGTTTCTGCTTCCCACAGTTCCCATTTTTTCATCTGACAAAAAATAAATACATGATTTCTAAGACTGCCATATAAAAGCTCTTATAGAAATGCTCACTTTAATCAATACTAGAAGATTGTGATTTAGCCAAAAACCATGTACCTTCATCTCTCGAAGACCCAAAGTGATCAGGGAACAAGTTAGATGAAAAACAGCAAGCATCATTATCAACACCTGCAGCTGCTGGGTTCCGTTTGGAGACAGAATAGGTATTTTTCCCTGCTAGAAAAAAAAAATACATTAACATGTAAATAAAATAAAATTTCAATCACCAAATTAAACACATCAAACACCCAGTAATTAATGCTCCTAATTCCTCCATGCTGACCTCGTCGCAAGTATTTTCGACCTCTAAAGCTTCGGACTCATCTAATGGAGTCTCATGGTTGCACGGAAGAAAAGTGCCTGCTAAACTTTTTGGAATGCAAATCTTTGATACGGGCCGCTTTGCCACAGTAAGCAGCAGAGTGATGAACCCCATATTTCTCAATCCTAAACACCAACAAAAAACAAAAAGAATTCAACCATCTTTTGGTTCTTATTGACTGAATCAAACCGTTTCTATCTATACTTCATCACCTGACTTTAATTGGTCGACGGTAAGGTTGAGAGTCTTTCGTCTTCTTGAATCCACAAACTGCGGGTTAATAAAAGAAATATGCTTAATTATTAATCCTAGGTCAGGCTTCAGAGAGAAAGAAAAGGAAGAGATGGGAGCACTACATGAGATAGGAGATGGAGCAAGGTCTCCAGAAGAAGAGAAAGGGCGACAAGGAGAGCTGTGAGGGAAGCGACAGCCCAGCTCGGCGTGAAAGCCAGAGATTCCCCCGTCCCCATTCCCTGATTTTGGCGCAGCTCCTTTTCAGATCCAACAGCTACAATGGCACTATATACATATAATTTGATTGGCTGCAAGTGCGATGCCGCTCTCGAATCAGAAATTTATATTAATAACTTCTGTGACTAAATTTTAGATCGTTGAATCCTTCTTTATACAATTTTAATAGAAGCATGCATCACTACATGATGATTCTTGTGGGCCAAATAATGCAACATTTGGATGTAATCAAGGCATCCAAATATTTATAAAATTTTATATACCGAAGTGGGGGTGGGAGAATAAGAGAGCTTATTTTAGATTGTCATATGGTGCCTTTTGAATTTTTAGAAAAAAAAAACATACCTCAAAATAAATTAAATAATATGGATATCGGCCCCCTAATTCCATAGTTTTTTCTCTAATTGAAAGAATCCTTACCCTCTGTTATTTATTGACATTTATTTTTATCAGCATCAATCAGTGTCATTGGTTAGGTACTGTGACACAACTATCACATCACCGCATCAATAAGCATTAATAATGGACATAACTAATGTTGTTACTATTCCTTATCAATACCCCAGTTCATCATATTTTCTTTGTTGGTGCCCTTAATCAATCGATTTTGATATTTGTCATCACCTTACCACCTTTGTTTGTTATCAAATGAATTAGACAAACACCATTACTTGTTTCTATTTCGATAATAACTTATATCAGATTCATAGTAGATCGAGCCAGTAATTTTGATTTTATAATTACTAGGAGGAGCACACTTTCATGACCTTGAAATCTGAGTATATGGGCTATATTAATTGAACTGGGTTTGATATGTATTTGATTTTTCACATAAAAACCCTTGCATTAGATGTGGATTTCAACTCTATTTTTTATTTGTGTGATCTCTTGGTGTAGCTCAATGATAAAAAGCTCATATCATCATGAATCTTCAAGTAGGAAATAACTTCACAATATTTGTAAGAAAATATGCAACTGTTGTAGGATTTATAAATGTCGATTCAAAGATTAATAAACACAATGATCATGATAAGGGAGAGGCATTTTGAAGTGTTCATCAATCTAAAAACTAGCTCTTCAATTACATCAAAATCATCATTTTTTTTTCTTGATAAGTATAAACCATTTAGCAAATGCTTATTTTAAAAGTGACAAGCTTGTAGATGGATAACTTGATTACTTCTCTTAACTTTTCTCTTATAATGTATGACTAATAGTTAATTTCTATAGGTTGGAGTTTTAATCCCTCACAATCAAATACGCGATTGCATTGATCAATTTTGAGTAAACATACATAAGGCCACTTCAGTGTCAAGCTAAATATTCCTCAACCATAAAGTATTCATGACCTTGCCACTACTATGAGCTTTACTTACCTTTCAATCTAATGTGCTTAACTCATAATCTTAGGTAATCATTTTGGACTTCACACAATACTTTCTTCATTAACATTCATAAAGAAGTACATTGAGACTAAACATAAAGGCCAATTTGTTAAGTATTCTCTTAAGGAATAGTAAACCATTTACTTTCAAATTTTCATTAATTATTATCTTTTCATTAATATTATTCTTCTGTGCCATTCAATGATAGGGTGTAATCTATCTTTTATAGATATTTATGAAGAAATTAAGATTCTATTGCCTCGTGATTAAATATAATGCATTAAATTTATGATAAAATGATGATAATTTTTAACCAAATTCAAGCTTTACTCTAGCCCCAGAAAAATCTCTCTATCATATAAATAACTTTGTCATCATTCATCTAATAGGAGATTGATTCACAACGCAACCAACTGAAGATTACCACATCAAGATAGTGTCGGTCATAATTTTGGGTCGATCAGTTTGAAAAATATATTTAATGTAGATATGTAATTTTGAAAAGTAGTGTTTTAATTTTGGAAAATATGGGACCGAACACATCCCATATATCAATTGTATAAATAACCGAGCATTATACCACAATCAATGCACTATCCCGAGAGATAGACATACTACTTGATAACAAGCTTGATTATATAAATTAAATAGTTTATGACATATGTTTGATCCGCAAAACTTTTTTGTTGAACGACAAGTTCCCCTATCTAGAGATTAGATATGGTTTATTTTACCTAGGTTCTTATTTCCCTATGAAGGTAAACCTCTATAGTTAATTACATCTAAAATGACTGAAATTATTTAAGAAAGCTCTCGATTCAGATCAATGCTTTTGTCTTCTAGTTTTCAAAGCTTAAGTTTTCAAAGTTAGACATAGGAAGGTCAAAAGGGAATGACTCAAGTTGGAACAGATATTTAGGAGTTCAAAGGAATAAAAGATATGGGATGTCACGGATTCGAGGAAAACCTTGATGACTTCCCAACTATCCTATTATTTGGTTTTAGTTTTGAAATGATGTCATTTAATATTTGCTCTTGCTATTTATTTAATTTAGGGCTTACACTTACATCATATATGATAGTACAAATAGCCTAGAAAGATAGGAGGATTTATGTCGTACCAAACAACGACCTCAGAATCCTAAAAAGAGTTAGGGTTTATATTGCACACATGGTTGTGCAAAGGCCTGAAGATAAAGCGAGGATTTAATTCATGCAAGACGAACTACCTCAAAATCCTATGGTTAGTAATTTAATTTTGAGTAATGAATTAATTGATGTAAATCTATTATAGTCTTGATTCGTAGGTGGCAGTCCTTTGTCATGTTAGTTGTGGTAAACCAAGCGCTTCGTGGGAAGCAACACATAGTTTTCTATGTCAGTGTGTTTGTGAGTTGTGATTGCTTGTAATGTATTGTGTTTGTTTTAGTATGAATTGATCAGTTTGATTGATGTTGGTGGATGTTTGGATTGTTATTAGATTGATTTGATCTTTTTGTATCATTGTGGATTGATTAGTTTGATTAATTTGGCAGATGTTTGGATTGTTAGTAGATTGATTTGATTTTTGTGTATCATGAGGGAGGCGATTCCTTAACTTCTTATTATGGTTGGGCTTGTATATGTTCTCTTGTAATAGTTAGATTGACAAGCCCACTATGGCTTGGGTCTCAACTGGACTTGAGTTTTACAGGAGACATCTTGAGTTTAAGAAGTGACAATTCCATCTCAATTTTCTTACTTCCTTTCTCTGACCTTGTTTTCTTTTAGTAGGGTCATGAACCTACTGGATGAGCAACATGTGGATGATCTTACATTGCCCTTATAACTGTTAGAGGTGCTTAATTTTTGGGATAAGGTGATGTCTGAGGTTGGTGTTCACGACCCAATGTAATATATATAATCTTGTCCACGGGGTTAACCCTACAAATTCATGGAAGGCACTTTATATTTTAGTGTTGTGATTCCGTTAGAAATTTGAATTAAGGTAGTGAGATGTGATAAGTTAAAGAAAGAATTAACCTCATTTATCATGTGTGTTTGTTTTTATGTTACAAGAATATAGAGGACTTGGGGAACACTTAAATATATATATTCTTATGCTAATACCTATCATGCTTATTAGACATTTCTTAAGTTCAATTTTATTCTGGCATGTTTAGTTTAGATTTACTTTCTGTTGCAAATTTTTCTATCCAAATGAATACTTGTAGATGCTTTTGATAGATATTTTTGGAAGAAAGAATTTCTGAACTATTTTTCTTCCCACTTATATTTTTTTGTACTAAATGCTATACATGTTAAAAATCAAGTTTGGGGGGAAGAAAATTATTTTTAAAAATTGACTTTATTTGTCCTCAGTAGCATGTATTTATTTTGATATCACTCTTAAAATGACTTGTGCTATGTGGTGTTATCTTTATGTTACTATAATTTTGATTTTAGGAATGTTAGAAAAAACTTAGTTGGGATCCTATGTGAAGAAACTGTTCTAGAGTTTAGAAATTTTGTAAGAAACATTAGGAAAATGATTTTTCCATTTATGGTAGAAAGGCATTGAATATTTGAAAAGCTAGGACTCTTAGAATTATACTTAATGAGAATTGAGCCTTTATTAATACCTTCTTCAATATAAAACATACACTTTAAAAAAGTGAGGGAAAGTTTTGAGTTCTTAACTTTAGGAAGAGGATAGTGAAATTAAAAGTTATTAAAGGTCTATCCAGATATAGTAATCCTCACTTAGAAAAAAAAAAGAAAGAAAAAAAGTAAGGATTAAAAAAATCCTGAAGGAAAAAAAAAGAGAGAAGGAGAAACCTTATAAAAAATTGATTTCACTTAAATCTTCTTAAAGAAGAAAACTTAGAAACAATCCTAAGCTCATTCTTATTTCAAAAAAAAAAATAGTGGTCAAATTGGTAAAGATAGGGTGCTTAAATTTTGTTTTAAAATTTCTAAGAATATTTAGTTTGACAAATTTAAATAACTTTTGAAGTAAATTGAAAAACAGGATTCCTATGTTGAATATTAGATATTCTTACACCCTAGTACCAGGTTGATTTGATAGAATTTCTCCTAAGTTACACTATAATATTACTGAGACAAAATTATAAGAAACTCTACTGAAACCTACTTCCTCAAATCAACAAATTTGGGTTTTAAAGTTATAGTGTTACTTGAGGACAAGTAACGTTTAAGTTTGGGGAAATCGACATGCCTAAAAATGTGCTACTTTTTTATATACATTTTATACTAATTTTTAATGATATTAAACTTTAATGAAAGGTGTTTTGTGTGTTTTTTATTACAGGTGCAAGAAATGAAGTTTTGGAGAAAATGGAGCAAAAATGATGCAATTTTGAGTCAAATGGAGCAAGGAAGAAAATTCTAACCTGACACATTTTGATATATATTTTTAATGCTTAATTCCCTTTTATCACATATTTTTGAATAAAATTACACTTTAAAGAAATGTTATGTTCATGTTTATCTTGTAGGTATAACAATTGGAGTGGATTGGAGCTGAAATGGGGCTAAACGGTCACAAAACGGGGTGCTGCCAGTAGGGTGGCACCAAGGCGCCAGTGTCACCCAGAAAAGGCGACTATGTGCCAATTCCAGCTCTTAGGTGCCATAAACGGCTGTGGACAAATCTAAAAAGCCCAAGGAGTTTATAAGGCGCCTTTTGGGACTTGGGAAGGCTTTTGGCATT